AAGGACATGATGAGCGCCCGCTCCCACCTGGAGGCTCGTGCGCGCTATTTTTTTGTACGCGGGGACCCTGATCGAATCAAGACGTCCTGGTGGGCGCGAACATAGGCCATGTACAAATCTTTTGTGCGCGAGGTCCCGGCATTGGGCGTGGGGAGTGGCCGGGGCGGGGACGGAGGGGCCCCGGCAAGGGGAGATCAAGATTTCCTAAGCCAACTGCCAAATATGACGGAGTGCAAGCTGGGTTGCGCAATATTTCCATCAAGAAATCATTCCTGCAAGCCGGTTTTACGGACTTGTGTGCACATGGCTCGCATTCGGCCGCTCTGTATACTGGATTTGGCTGAAGCGATCTCTGGTGTCAGACCTCGGCTCAATAAGAAGATCTGCGGCAGCTCTGTATACTAGATTTGGTTCATGCGATCTAGCTCGATCTGGTGTCAGATCGATACGACCTCTGTGTCCTGCGTAACAAAAAACCTTATAAACCCTAAGCACGCATATATACATATATATATATATACACATGCACACACACATTTTGCCCTATGCCTTGCCCTAAACCTTGTTTGGCTCAAACCATCGACCGCGGATGCGGCCGGTGTTCTTGTGTGTGTGTGTGTGAAAAAAAACCTTAAGCTACATGCACATGCGCGGTGACTAAATATATAATATTCCTGATATATGCTCCATATATATGTATACATAACAGATCTATATCGAACTCCGACTCACTCTTTCCGACTCCATGCTCCGATTCGATCACTCGATCCTTTCTTTTCATTCTCGGGGGAAGCACGGCCGGAAGGCTGAAACTTAAAGCAATTGACGGCGACATTCTGCATGCATGGACAGTTGTCTGTGAAAGTGTCTTTGCATGCATGGAGCCGAGCATTCAGGACAGTTGTGTGTGAAAGTGTCTTGCGTGTAGAAGCTCCGATTGCATTCAGGACAGTTGTGTGTGAAAGTGTCTTGCAGAGAGCATTCGGTCAAGACAGTTGTGTGCGAAAGTGTCTTGCATCAGCGCCCGCGTGCTCAAGTGATCATGGTGCGCCATCTCAAGCTGTTCAGCACGCGCGCAGCCTAGGGGGCACAGCTGCTAGTCCGGCTCAGGCATAGGGTGCATGCGCAGGCTTCAGCTAGAGCAGCTAGCTAGGCTTAAGGATGCCGCAGAGCATGGAGGCCGACGCCTCTATGCACATGGGCCTTTTGTTCGTGGCTTTGTTTGGAGTCTTCGGCGACCTTGCGAGAGTTAAGGATGAAGGCTCTAAGATGTGCTTTTGTGTTTCCGATGCCATCCAGTTCGTACAACAGAAGTGGCATTGTGCGGAGATTGCAAGGCTTTTGGGGGAAACTGCGAGCGTTTTCCATACAGCCTCGGCATGCTTGCGTTGCATGGATGTTTCTACGGGAGACATCCCCCGTCTGGCCCTGCCAGACATGCATGTTGCATGCGAAGATCACGAACCCCTGGACTGTGACAGCTGGCTGGAACAATCGTGCGCTGGAATCAATTGGAAGAACAGATTGCGACAATTGGTGATGGCGTTCGAGTTTTTACAAGAGCTCTGCTCAGATGAGCATCTTGATGCAACGTGGCGCAAGAAGATTAAGGCAGTCAGGACGATCATCCAGGATGTTGTCTTCCCCATGGCCGTGCGAGTGAACCTGATGATTGCACGTGGAGAGACGCTTTGCGGCATTTTCATGCACATGCAGAGAGAATTCAATTCATGATGAACTTGCGTCGTCAGAGTTTAAAATTGCAGGCTGTCGGATACGGAGACGGAAGACTGATTGCACCCCTGCGCGGCTGGATAGTTTTTTTGTGTGAAAGTGTCTTGCATGAGGGACATGCAGTGCAAGGACATTCCGAATGAATGTCGATCGATTGGACAGTTGTGTGTGAAAGTGTCTTTAAAACTGTCGTGCCGGCAGCCGCAGGCATGAAGCTCTGCATGCGTGTCGGCATATGAGATTCACGATGGACTCTGCCATATGTGCATACATACGTACATATGTCATATAATGGCTCTCCCTCCTGCCATGCAGCGATGGCTTCGTCAAGTGGAGCTCAGACTTGATGTGTACCTGGGCGATGAACTCATCGTGTATTCCCATGCATGACAAGATCCATGATTTGAGTTAGCTGAGGAATGCCGTGCGGTCTCGGTCGATGCTTCTTTCAGAGAGCCCGAAAATGAGTGGCTTTTCATGGCTTATCGGCAGGCAGGTTTTGCATGCTCGATTGCAGATAGCGAGCCGGGCCCCGAAAATGATTGGAGTCTCCTATTTGTCGGCAGGCACACTTTGCTCGGTTGCCGGAGAAGAGGCAGTTTGAGAACTGCTTGGCACGCCTGCTGGAGATCCATGCCGATATGTGATCTTCGGCTGCAATATTTCCTGTGGTTGCATATCATGATGTGCCCAAGCACTTCACAAAAAATGAGGTGCTGCCGACGACAAACAAGCATGGATCAAAACTGAAGCGGCGAAGGTGTACGAAATGCTCAGGCGGCGCCGGGACAAAGCTCGAGTCCTGAGGAAGCGGAAGGTGGCCCGACAGCAGTTAATTTTCAGGTCTGCATGCATGTGCGCCTTTTCGATCCATGCCTCTAGACCGATGTATATATGAGGCAAATGCTCTGCGCGACGATGCACCGCAAGGTGTGAAGCAGGCCTGGCTTGACATTTCCGTTGATCAGAATTGAATATTAAGTTTTCGGGGCTGGATCCCGACTAGACACCATATGCAGGAGTTGGATTCCGACAAGGGCCTCGCTTCCGATCTTGATTATGAGGCTGGGTAATTTACAGACATCGACAAAGAGAGCGAGAGGGCACATGTGCATGCAGGCCGAGAAGGCCCACGAGGATGCCATGGCCGATGCTTTGGAGGAGCCGCTGTTTGGGCCGGTGGTCGTGGATGATAGCCAGGGCCAGTGATCCCAAGGCCCATCCCTCGAGAGAGAGAGAGAGAGAGAGAGATAGAGAGAGAAGTTCATGTGCACGCTCAGCTTTGCTGCAGCTAGGTCATAATCCTTTGTGCTCCCTTGGCTATGCTGCTTTGGCGATGCTGCTGCTTTGGCTATGCTGCTGCTTTGGCTATGCTGCTGCTTGGTGATGGAATCTATGCATGCCCCGTTCCTGTGCAGAGCTTTGCATGCTAGGTTGGACATAATCCTTTGCGTGGCAATGCATGCTGCTGTGGCTATGCTAGCTGCTTGGCGCTGATGGAGTCTATGCACCGGTCCGGCCTGTGCACAGCTTTGCGGCTAGGTTGGATCGACAGAATCCTTTGCGTGGCAATGCGCTGCTGTGGCTATGCTGCTGCTTGGCGCTTAACTATGCCCCGTTCCTGTGCAGAGCTTTGCATGCAGCTAGGTTGGATAATCCTTTGGGTGGCAATGCGCTGCTGTGGCTATGCTGCTGCTTGGCGCTCATGGAAGTACTATGCCCCGGATGCTGGTGCACCTGTCATGAGCTCCTAGGAACTCGCAGCGCGAGCCGGATGTTCTCGAGATCCTCTTAAAAAAAGTCTGTGCCCATGCCTGATCGACAGTTGCATGCAAAGTGTGCAGCCGAGCTTCATGGCCATTCAGGCTATATTTCCGAAGCCCATGCATGCAGAACGACATTTGCAAAGCAGTGTGCGAGCTAGCTTGCGAGCATTGAGTGGCGAATCGACACTTGCAAGTCATGTGCGGCCAAGCTTCCGATGCTTCCGAACAGGAAACTCAATGCACTATTATAGATCGAGCACATAGACATGGCGCCCAAGCATGTGGTCGATGAATCGATGATGCAGCTGCTGCTGGACGCCCTTAAGAAGCACCTCCCGGGCGACAAGGATCCAGAATTAATATGTTTGTGCATGCAGTCCCAGATGTTTGATGTGCCAAAGCATGCAGGACCTCGTGGTGTTCAAGGGCGACTCCATCACCGACGAGATCGAGGAGACTGTGAATGATGACGATTTGGAGCTGAACAAGGAGATCATGGGTGTGTCACTGGGCTTTCACGGTTCTTTTTTCCGCTCTCTCTCTCTCTCTCTCTCTCTCTCTCTCTCTCTCTCTCTCTATACATAAACTAAATAAATAAATAAATATAAATACAACTATACATATAAATATAAATACAAATATAAATATAAACATATATAAATTCACTTTCTCTAGAATATATATATATACACATACATATATATATATACATATATATATATGTACATATATAAATATATATGTACATATATATATATATGTACATATATATATATATAAATAAATATATATATATATATGTATATATATATATATTTATACTTTTATGTAGATATGTGTGTGTATATGTATATGCAAAGCATGTATGTATATAATGCAACTCTTCAGCCTAGGTGCCTCAATATTTTTGAGCAGACGGGCCATATATGGTATACGGCGGCTTTGCAGCAGTGCTTCGCAAAGTTCTATGGCGAGTCTTGGCTAACACGTAGAGTCGCAGTCGTACGTATGTGTGATCAGACGTGATTCGTGCGCCAGCTTAGGAGGATGACAGTGCGAATGCCAAGCGCTATGCATGCTGGGCACTCGCTGTGCGTGGCATGGCAACCTGGATCAGCACTCCTCTTTGTGTGCGTGTCTGTGTGTGTGTGTGCACATGTGTGTGTCGCCATCTTTCTTGATGCGTGGTGCGTGTGAGGGTCGTAAGAAACCTTAGGCACAGCATGTGGTTCGGCAAGCCAAGAGGACCATGGAATCGAACAATCCGACGTTCAAAGCTTTGAAGAGTATTTGTGGCCCCAAGCTTTTGGAAAAGCGGAAACGCAAAGGACACACTTTAACTGCGTGTACAGCTGCGACTCAACATGCACGGCAGATCCAAGCCTTTACATGTGGTGGTGATGTTGCAGGACCAGCAGCGCCAGCGCCGGAGCCAGGCCAGAAGATGGACGAGTTGGAGACCCAGCCGCTCGGGGGTTCAGGACGCCTTCCCCGACCCCCCGATGCACCTCCATTCCTGGGCGCCATCATTGCAGATCTGGAATCACGGGCTACATGCATATTCGACCCCACGCTGCAGTTCAAGAAGCAGTTCAGAGCACATTGTAAGAAGATGGATGGCAGCACAGGCACCGCATCGACACATTAACAATCCTCCTTACGTGTTCGTGGGTGCGTGTACAACATGCATTGCCGCGGTTTCATGTGCAGGAGCTGATCTCTTAGCTGCCCGTGAAACAGAGAAGGCATCGCGATCCATGGGTCGAGTGTGCTGTCTGCATGCTAATTCATCCAAACCTACTATTAATGATTCAGGCTGATGCCCTGGGTGCGGTGGAGCCCGATGATGAGCTGGATCTGGAGAAGGAGCTTGAAAAAGAGATGAGCCAGGCGTGGGCTGGGCTATGCATAAGGTTTGCTGGCATTTGTGTTGCATGCCTGCTGCAGATGGATGATGACGGCGAAGACGAGCAGTACGCCCGTCAAGTGTTGACGGAAAGCCTCAAGGAGAAGGACAGCTGTACGTCACTGTCCTTTTTAAATCGTCGCCCACATGCATCGGCTGTCTCGGCAGGAGCCCTCGGCATCCAGTGGACAAGCGTCCAGTGGACATGCGACCGAGGCACAGGGGCGAGAAATCGCATTTAAGCTGTTTTAATTGGCCGGCTGGGTTTGATCTCAAGCCTTGCATGCATGGGTGAGGTGTGTCATGCATAGGTTTCAGCCCAACCATCACCGTCCTCGCATGGATCACGTTGCTGTGGGATGTGTGCGGTGTGCTTTCATGCGAGCGACAGCGCCAGGGCTTGGAATGCAATGGTGTGCATTGTGTTATCTTGTTGCATGATGTTTCACGAAACCCTGCATATGGCATTGATCGCCCGACCAACTTCTGAAACGTGCCCTTTGCTTTCCAGGACAAAGCCATGGGCACCGCGGGCCCCGATCGCGAGATCCCTGCTGCTGAGGCTTGGATCTATGTACGTGCAAAGCTTGCTATGCTCCTGCTGCTGCTGCTGCTGCTGCTGCTGCTGCTGCTGCTGCTGCTTTGAACACAAAGCTCCTAGGAAGGGCCAAATGAAGTGGACCATGGAGAGAAGGAGAAGCCGGCGCTTGGACTTAAATTCGAGTTGCAGCTGCATGTTGCACATGTTCCAAGCAAACAAAAACACTCATCCGAGGCAGTGCAAGCCTCGCCGATGTTACAGGCGTATCGATTATTTTGTGGCGCGGCCAGGCGAGACGGGTATGGATTTTCGGCCGCATCCGAACTATGGAAATCCAGCTCCATACGAGAAGTCTTTGTTGAGTCTGTGAGTGAGAAAGAGCGCAAAAAGCGCAAATATTAAATGTGCCATGGTCTGCGGAGTTTGAGAAAAATCGCCATTGCATGTATGCTGAGCTCTGCAGAGAATGCGTGAGGCGAGGGTGGTGGGGGGGGCGGGGGGTGGTGTGCGCGGTAGGGACGGTGTGGCCGGTACCGTGTGTGGTGGGGGTGGTGAGGGTGGTGAGCGGTGGGGTGGTGGGGGTGGTGGGGGTGGTGGGGGTGCGGGGGGGGAGCGGGCAGCCCTTAATCACTTTAGAAGCTGTTGCATCCGTTTGCACATGACGTCATGATCGATTGCAATCCTTTGTCTGCAGAGCAGCCATGTGTTCACTGAGGTGCTTGTGCATGTATGATCCAGCCTTTAAATTAAGGCTGTTTTACAAATCTTGGGAGCCTGAGCTTTATGTGACTGCATCTGCCCCGGTACATGATCCGTGGATGTTTTCTGGTACCAATGCATACGTGAAAATGCAATCACACACAAACACTCACACCACATGCACAGATCGAGTCATATCCCAGCATGGTGCACATTTACATGTCGCGGCCGATCGTCAAGCAGCTGCTGGCCTGCAAATTGCCACGCGTGCTCATCCTCGTCTTGTATCTCGTGACATGCTTGGAGAACTTAGACTCTTGGTGGCATCAAACATATAGACCGTTGTTACTTGCTCGAAGTCGTGCATTTCATACAGTTGGATTGCATGTGCTGTTGCATCAGGACATGGAAATGGAGTACCTGGACCTCTGCGAGATTTTCTCCGGAAAGGGTGTCATTTGCCTGCAGTTGTATATATACAGTTGCTGCAAGTTTCATGTGTGTATGTGCGAACGAAGCATAGCTGTGACATGTGAGTCTTCTACATTTGTCGATCATATATCTATATATATATATAGACATGCATGAGGCTGTGACGGCCGAAGCTCGCAAGCGAAAGCTCGTCTGTGGAAGATTGGACCTTGATCTCGGCGATAACATGGACGTGTCCAGCCCGACCGGGTTTTTGCTCTTCCGTCTGCATCATGCTTGTTGGTTGTGTGACACGTGTCTTCTCGAATCAGTGTGTCGCTGCTCAGTGCATGTGTCGTGTTAGCTGAGGACACATCTGATTATGCTTCTGATGTTGAAACCCCGTGGCCTCGTGGTGCTGGCCCCTCCATGTGCCACCTTTTCTTGGATGTGTCGCTATTCGACGGGCCGGCGGGATATCCTGCCCGAAGGCCTGCCTTCGGAGAAAGTGACCCAGGCAAATCAGATTGGATCCCGGTTGCTCGTTTGCATGTGTGCATGTGCTGCTGTGCTTTACTGATTGTATAGCACGGACGGATCTATGCATGTTCATGCCCCATCCATTCAGGACTGCACTTCTGTGGTATGTGGCATCTGCTATGTCGATATATGTCGTGCTGGAGCAGCCACAGCATGGCGACACAAGCCTGTTCAAGATGCCACGCTTCCAGGACTTGGCGAACAAATTCGAGGTGCCTTGACAACATGTAATGTAAGCATGCATGATGCATGCTTCCTTACAATGAAAGCCCTCGACCGCGATCATGTTGACTGTGCTCAGATCCACAAAGTCGCCTTCAACATGGCGGCTTTCGGACTCAACAGTCTGAAGCCGACGTGGCTTTGGTCGAATGACCCCAAGTGTCTTGAACCTTTCATGCGCGAGCTGAGTCCTCGCGATCGTGAACGCATCAAAGAACATCAAGGGGAGACGACGAAACGAAGGCGGATCACGGAGCTTTGCATGCAATCTTTCCACAAGAAATCATGCACAGGTGCATAGTCAAAGCGCCTCGCGATATGCTTCGATCTCAGGATGGTGAAGCCACACGTGTGTTATCGACCGGAAACAAGGAGGCACTCCAGAACACACAGCGACTTGATGAGCAATTGTTCACCGGGTTCGTTGCGTATATGTTCCCTGTGCATTTGAACACCTATCCTGTGCATGCATAGGACCTACACGCAAGCGTTCGCCGAGGCTGTCATCGCTGCTTGTTGGAATTGTTAACTCTCTCGCTTCATGATATTATTCTACTAGCTAGGGGTGCTGGAGCTCAGGAATCCTATCTGGCACTGCCAAAAACTTCCGTCGATCTCGAGAGATGCTTCCGACCAGTGTCGGCCGAGGAGGAGGTTGCCGAGTTCAAACCAGTCATGCACTATATTTTTTTTCTGGTCGTGAGTGCACGCTTCTATCCATTTCTACACCCAGCATGCAACCCAGGAGCAGAACATCAAGCTGCTCTTCGCTGAACCAATAGAAGATTTTTGGGAGGAGGCCACCCATGATGAATCCTTTGTATTAGGCTATGTATATTGCACTGTGTACACATGTTACTTACCCGAGGCTGCACTGGGATCAACCGTTATTGTATATGTACCACTTCCAGAGGCTGGCATGCTGGAGTTCATCGTGTGGCTGAAGGGCAGTCGTCATCTGCGATTGCCGCCAAGCTGGCCGGCTGACTGGTGAATGATGACCTATGCACCATGGAATGCATATGTGGTGCAGCATGCAGTGAGAACTTAGATTCTTAGATGGATCAAGTTGGACTTCGATTGGTGGACTCGGCTTGCCATCATTCCAACTGCTGTCAGCCCAGGAATGGAGTATACGAGACTGGCAATGGTATGCCATGTATATATGTGGGTCGTGCATACCGATGACTGGAGTCGATCGATCCGGGTTGCTGGCTGCATCATCTGTCATGGTGTGCAGGTGTTGTCAAATTAAGTAGCATGTGCATAAAGCCGCATGTCCATGTTGTTGTGCTGTGTATATCTGCATCGTCCGATCTCAGGTTCAGCCGTATGCCTCATATTTCATTATGAGGAGAGGCTGCTGCTGGTATGGTGGCAGGCAGCTAGTCCGCGATGTCAGGGTTGCATTCTTGAATCATGCAGACTTTTTGTTGAGCGAGTCACACAAAATCTCCTGATGCATCGGAGGTTGTTCCATCGTGGGCTGCTGGATGGATGCTGTGCTGCTTGAGAAACACTTGCCTGGATCATGAGCCTCCGCGCTGTGGTGCATGTACGGATAACACTGCATGATGTAGGGACAACATGCTGTGTCATGTGTGCCATGTACACACCGAACACATAGCATAGCTCACTCTGCTCGTGGGTACTGTGCTGCATGCTGCTGCTGGACACAATGATGTACATGCATACCACAGTCCAAGGACCGCACATAACAAAAAACAGCAAACACCACCACTGGCAACCACAACTGAGCGACAGTTAACCAAAAAAAATATACAAAACGGTTTCATAACAACACCTAACAAACAACAACTATAAAAAACATGTTGATTGATGCATCACAAGACACCCCGGCAATCCGCGTCAATTCGCGGCAAAACGCGTCAAAACGCGTCAATTTGCGTCAATTTCAATCATCAAGAAGACAGCAACATCGGAAGCACATGTGTGCATCAACATT